AATGACCAGGGGGGAACAAGGCTGATGAAGCTCCATCTCATATGCACGTCCATAGTCACTATGACAGTGGTGATCATACAAGTGTTTATTAGAGATAGCAGAGCAAGGGCATTGTAGCTGCTGATATCCAAATGAGTCAGCAATGTAAAATTCTTAAAGTTGAAGGCCACACCTTGAGTTGCAAAACCCAAACCTCTAGGTTCCATTGATTTAGTTTTGTTCCGTGAACAAAAGAAGGTAGAGTTAAATAAGAAAACCCACCAAGAAGCCATGTATACAGGAAGCACACTATCATTGTAGCAGCGTAGGAAGAGAAAACTTTGAGTTGTAGAAGTTTGAAAGAGCAGATAATTCCAATTGTATTTGTAGAGGGCAGGGAGAAAAAGTAATGTTTCCAACTTCTTTTTATGAAATAGTCCTAAAGGTTATACTCTAAATCAGTTAGGATTGCCAAAAAGAAAACTATCAACCATATATCAAAGGTTCACCATCAGGCACTGATCATTCAATATTAGGATATGTGGAAAGAGACCTTTTGCATTCAAACACAAGCAGTCAGAAGACACACAAAAGTAAAAATTCCTTATTTCCAATAACAACACAAAAGATAAAATGTCTGAGAGAAAATATATGAGGTCATTATTTAAAAATACTTTAAAATACAAACTAAAATATGAACAAAAGACAAAGCATCCCATGTCCTCAGATAGGATGACTCAACATCATAAAGATGTCAATTCTCCCTAAATAAAACCACAATATTCACCCAGGTCTAATAAAAATGTCAGCATCATTTTGTCAGAATAATCAAGCTGAGTCAAAAGTTCATGTGGAAAAATAAACACATAAAAATAGCCAAGAAAGGTCTGTAACAGAAGAGTAATAAGGGGGAAGGCAGTGTTCAAGTATTAACACATTACAAGACTTCAGTAATTAAAATAGTGTAATAACATCACTTGAATAAACAGACAATTCATGGAACAGAATATGAAACCCAGTAATAGACATACATCTATATATGGCATTTTAGAAAAAGTGGCATTGCAAATATGTGGGGAAATGGTAGATTATTTAATAAATAGCATTGAGAGAACTGAAAATGAGTCAGAGAAAAGAAAAGGAAAAGAAGATCTGGCTCATTTCATGACACCAAATAATAAGATAAATTGCTAATGTATTAAACTTTGAAATATGGGGACAAAAAAATCCAAATACCAGAGGAAACCATAGGAAGTAGAAGACCTTAAGCTATAAAAGAAAAGATTGACAAATACAATTACATGTTTTTAAAGTGTGCATGGTAAAAAGTACAATCAAAATCAACAAGCAAATATCAAATTGGGAGGGAAAAAAACATGAACTTATATCACAGGCATAAGTTTAATCTCACTAATGTATAAAGAGTTTTTAGAAGTCAATGGAAAAAGATAATCTAACAAAAAATAGGCAAAAAATATTGGAAGTTCACAGAAAAGGAAAAATGAATTGCTCTTAGACATACATTAAGAAGCTCACTCATAGCCGAAACCGGTTTGGCTCAGTGGATAGAGCGTCGGCCTGCGGACTGGAGGGTCCCGGGTTCGATTCCGGTCGGGGGCATGTGCCTGGGTTGCGGGCACATCCCCAGTGGGAGATGTGCGGGAGGCAGCTGGTCGATGTTTCTCTCTCATCGATGTTTCTGGCTCTCTGTCTCTCTCCCTTCCTCTCTGTAAAAAATCAATAAAATATATATAAAAAAAAAAAAAAAAAAGAAGCTCACTCATAATAAGAAAAAAATTAAACAACTTTCACCTTCCTTAAGATTGGCTGAGATTCAATAATTGATTCTATGTAGAAATAGGGTGAGAAAACAGGTCTCATAATTGTTGGTGAGAGTATAAATTGGTATGACTTCCATGAAAAGCAATTGGTAATGTACATCAAGGTAAAAATACCCTACCCTTTTAGAAATATATTCTAAGATATAATCATATGCTTATTATATGATGTTATGCCCAGGCTATTTACTGTGGCACTATTTGTAATAGTAAAAGAGTGGAAACTGCCTAAATGTCCATTAATATCTATCAATATGAGGCTAGTTAATATGACTCATATGGAATGATCTCCAAAATTATTGGAGGGAGAAATACACATATATACACAGACATCTCTAAAAACACACATAAGACACTAAGACTAACTGTGTTAGGGAAGGGGAGGGAGAGAGGAGTGTAAGGGACAATTTTTAGTATATACCTATTTATGCCTTTTGTATTTTTAAAATTTAAAAATTAATTGGTCATAAGGCCTTGTGAGTCATAACTGCCAAAATGAACTATAGAGATAATAAACAGTCAAATAAATAAATACAACAGAGATAATGATGTAAAGTTAGCTTTCAACCTTGGCTCCTTTTTACTTCAGCATAATACACATTTCTTCCTCCAATTATAGTTTTGCTTGTTTTCACTGGTCTCAAACCCTATGATTTTATTTATCTCAAGAGATATCATAAATTTTCTAATAATTTTCCAAACAACACACCTCTATTTCAATATGTACTATGTGTAGTTCTAAAATATGGGTTCCATAGAAACCACTGTTGAGTTTTGGAGGGCTATCACAATAACAAAACAAAAATTAAAATCATTAATTGGAAGCAATCATAAGAGAACAAGCACATCTTTTGGAATTACTTAAAAAAAAACAGTGGTTAAAATAAAATCTTGCCTGTTACTTGGGAAATATATTATGGGCTATTTTAATAATATTTGTTTGGAAGAACTTATATGGATATATGCATAACTCAGTAGGATAGTGAAGGCCTGGGGTGGGGGAGGGGGTGGGCTAGAAGGAGCCAATGGGGGAAAAAGGGGACAAATGTAATATTTTCAACAATAAAGATTTTAAAATTAAAATAATAATAATATTTGTTTGGAGAATTAAATATGTCCTTTCCAGGCATTCTTAATTGTGATAAGCACACTAAAAAAAGATAGTCTTTTACATGAAATATAAATTAGTAAAGTCACATGCCAAATAACTTTGGCATCCATGGAAATGCACAATTCCAGGTAGTGGGATATAATAAAATGTTGGAATTTCAATTTCTATTATTTTATCTTAGTCTATATAATAAAGTAGTATATAATACGTAATTTATAATAAATAGGCATACAGAAATGCTATTGTGCGTTCAATCGTTTTTATTCATAGAAGCGTATAATAAAAATGTTTGGTAACACTGCAAAATGATGATATGATTTCACATAAATAAGGAGAAATCACATCCACTGTAGAATGTTTTAAGAGGCATAACAAGAAGCAGCCATAAATTATGAATCTCTAAGTGAAACACTATTGAATTTATTTGGTATGACACTTAGCACAATACTATCTGAAGTGAGATTCTTAATACATAATAGAATTTCCAAGTTAGGAAAGAATGTTAGATATATCATTTATTCCAAATCTCCTTATTTCAAACATGAGGTAACTACAGCCAGAGAGAATAAAGTTTGTTCTCTATGTCATATGGTTGGCTCATAGTGATAGAGCCAGGTAAAGAACCCAAATTTACCAAACCTTTGTCTTTCTACTATACAACACATTGTTACATAGTGTGTGCAACGAAATGGGAAGGAACTTTAAATTAAGCATCAGGCCAACCCAGATTTCTCACTAAATTATTTTCTTCTAATACTTTATTCTTTCCTATTATCCCTATCTTTATTTTTGTCTTTTTTTTTTTTTTTGCCTTCTTAAGACCACATATTTTAGAAAGTGGAATAGTGAATTTATTTTTTATCATGTTAATTTTTTAAGCCACTTTAAAGGAGAAAGGTTCAAACTTTAAATTAATCCTATTTTCATCTATCTCCTCTAACTGAAACAACCTCTGAACTCTAAATGCCTTTCTTTCTTACCAGTCCTCTGTGAACAACCCAGCCCAAGAAATATATACCTGATTCTACCAAAATGAAATGAAAGATGAATAAGATGGGAGTGGATGACATAGAAGTTGAATTGCAAAGAAGCAATCAGAATCAAAAGTCCATGCTTATGGGATGATAATAAGGAAAGCCTGTGAAAACAGTTCCTTTATTAACTTCTCAAAAAGGTTAGCCCAATTTCGAATTGAATTTTCTCCAGTGATCTCAAACCAGAAACTGAAAAAAAAACGGAGATCATGACGTTAAGAAAAAAGGCTAAAGAGAAATTTAAAGTACTTATCCAGGTAATTCAACACCATTTAAAAAATATATATTTTATTGATTTTTTACAGAGAGGAAGGGAGAGGGATAGAGAGTTAGAAACATCAATGAGAGAGAAACATAGATCAGCTGCCTCCTGCACACCCCTTATTGGGGATGTGTCCACAACCAAGGTACAAGCCCTTGACGGGAATCGAACCTAGGACCCTTAAGTCCGTAGGCCCACGCTCTATCCACTGAGCCAAACCGGTTAGGGCAAACCCATTTTTAATACCTTGATTATATTTGTGTAGCCCCCTCACAATATGTACAAGTAGCATTTAAGAAATTTTACTGTTTTCATGGACATTGGTTTGGAAAATGATTAACCAGTTTTGGTTTCACTTAACCCATTCTGACACATATTGGGAAACTGATGCCACTTTGCATTGCAAAGATTAATGTCATAATATAGATAATCGCTTAGCAAAGTGTCTAGCATAAAGGTAAGCACATATAAAACTCAATTGTCACACGACTCCACACAGGTGAAGTGCCCAAGGTCTCACTCCCCTTTCGTGCTAGGCAGCAAAATGAGGAACCCAGACTTCTCTAAGGAGACTGAGAATTGAGACTTTTAGGGAGTGCGCTGTATCAGTATTCTTAAAAGGGTTTTTTGGGCGTGGGGGGTGGGGAGGACGGCGTCTGGCACGTCCCAAGAGCTGACCATCAGCCCCGCCTCCCTCCATCCTGTTCCTGCCCACGCAAGCGGAACTACATTTCCCAGCGGCCTCAGGGTGCAGCCGAAGCCTGGTGCCTTGCTTTCCGGCTACACATTTTACTTCAGTTTATTTCCCTAAGGCTCCTGGCACTGAGGTCGAGTTCCTGAACATGGGTACTTCCCTGTCCCAGCCTTTCGAGATTGATAAGATCGCCTCGGCTCCTCAGGCCGCCTCTCCCGCTAGCCGTGCGCCCCTCGATGCACCCGGAGCCCAGACCTCCCCCGAGCAGCCGCCCGCACTTAGGAACTGCTGGAGCTGTCGCGTGCTCTCCGGGTCGGGGTTGATAGGTGCGGGCTGTTACGTGTACTGGGTTGCACGGAAGCCAATGAAGCTGGGATACCCCCCGGGTCCAGGAACTGTTACCCAGATGGTCATCGGCATCAGTGAGAGCCGGGCAGGGCCCTTGGGGCGGGGGGTGGGGGGCAGGGAGGGAGGAATGGGCGCAGCCATGCGGCTGGGGGCGGGGCGGGCGGGGCGCTCCGGCTGGAAATCGTGGGAGCCATTCCAAACAAGATGCAGGGATGGTGAGAGGAAGTTGTTGGGACTCTGCTTTTTAAAAAAATCAGTATTTCTTGAGAATTCTTAATGAACCTCAGTCTTAATCCTATCAATAGCTATTAGAGATAGTTTGTTCACTAAGACACACAGAAGTAAGAATCCTGTTCAAAGTCAGACACCCATGATGTGCTGCAGCTAGCCTTTCATCCTGGGCTTATCTGGCACCAAACCCCATGTCTTTTTTGTTTTTGTTTTTGTTTTTCCCTCCAGGTCCTGGAGAAGCCTGAGAAAAGGCACTTAACTTAGAACTTGGGCTTGGAAGTCAGATTGTAGACATGGGTTCAACGCCCACATACTAGGTATGCCACCGGTTCCTGTGGCCCACAGTCCTTATCTGTATCTATCTGTACTAAGTGATGGTCAAGATGTCCAGTAAAATGTAGTGAGTCTCTTAGCTCTGCAAACCAATTATGTGAATAGAATTTTAGGCTTTAGTATCTCTTTGTAACTAGATTGTCCACATCAGTTCCCTTTAAGTTCATATCTAGCTTGTGGAGACAAAAGGATTTTTTTCCCTTAACTTTTTTTTTCCCTTTTCTGAACCTCACTCTTCTATATCTTCTAGGAGTGTTGTGTTAAATAAGATGGCATATATGAAAGCATCTGGTAAACTAAAATACAACATCCACATAAGGTACTGTTGTTGTTTTTTTCCTAGGCATTGCTTGTTGGGGTGTAATCATCCTGTCAGACCCCAAGGGGAAGTTCCACCCGTGAATTTGTCATCTGTCCCTGTCTCCATGACACACAGAGCAAGCATTGAGCTGATGGATGTTCTGGACAGACAACATGGACATTGGCATACTTCAGTTCTGCAGATACTACAAGACTGAAAAGACCAACATTAGTTGGCAATCTTTGGCCATGACTGTTTGTGGCCTTCTAGGGCTCCACAAGGACCAATAAATACCTCAGAGAACAGAACCGGTTCTTTGTCTTACCTGGGGAAGAAGAGTATAATAAAAATAAAATAAAAAAACCCTGGCCGGGTAACTCAGTCCATTAAAGCTTCATCCCAATAGGTCAAGGTTACGGGTTCAATCTTCAGTCAGGGCATATACAAGAATCTACTAATGAATGCATAATCAAGTGGAACAACAAATTGATATTTCTTTCTCCCTTCCTCTCTCTCTCTGAAACCAATAAATTAAAAAAGAGGAAATGATAAGCCAAATGGGAAAATGAACTAAAATAAGTTCTTTTTACTTCAACCATAATGGGTCAGTACCTATTTATTAACCCAACCTTGGATAGGCATGCACTATGCAGAATTATATAAAATTGTATCTGTATACTTCTCATATTTACCAAACATTATCAAATCTGTCACCTTATAAGAGTTTCACAGCTACTCTGAGATGGTTATTTCATTGGTGGTAAGTGAACTTTAAAAAAGAGTCCTAGTGACTGGCCCAGGGTCATTCAGCAAGTCAGTGATGGACTTAAAATTTGTTCTTGTCTAGTCTTTCAGGACTTGGATGGTTCCAAAGAGGCAAGCAAGAATTACCAATGAAACAACTAGATGATCATACAAATAAAGATAGAATAATAGATTCAAATGCCAAAGTATTTGAGAGGAATTCAATACCTTTTTAAATAAAATAAAATAAAAAGTTTTGTCTTCCCCTGCCACCCCCCAAGCACTGGAAATGTTTCTGTGATGAAATTGAGATGCTTATGAAATAAGGACTTAAAATTAGGCAGTTCATATCTAAGAGAAGTCTGTTATACCATGGCTTCTCTATAAAGTTATATGCAGCTATTTTTCAGAGCAGAAAGATACTCTTCAGCTGCCAATCACAGTGTAAATTTTAAATGACACATTGAGGGCTGTTACTTTTTCTAGTATTATATAGATGTGCCTACGTCTGTTAAGCTTCACAAGTGACAGTAATATTCTTGCATTGTCTATATCAGAGCTCATGGTATGGGTGGTGCTCTATTTTACCTATGCAATTGAGAAAGATATGTCAACAGAGAGAGCAAGGCATTATTTGTGTGGAATGCACAAGTTGGAAGGGACCATACAGGACCCAAAGCAGGATACCTTCTTGAGGGCCCATGATACATGATGATTCATCCCCTAAAATATCAATGAAAAGTCATTCCTGCTTTAACAGGCAAGCCATTCTAATGGACAGCTAGCGTCTGAACACTTTCTTAGGTTAAACAAAAAATACAGATCCAACTTACTTACTTGGTCTACTGGATAAATAAAATAATTCAAACTTACATGTACAGGGTGGGGCCAAAGTAGGTTTACAGTTGTATGTGTAACAGTTTTTTCTTGTACTAGTATTTTTAATTATTATTTATTTGTATTACAATTGTAAGCTTACTTTTGCCGACCCCTGTAACTTTAACATCTTTTTCAGAATTTATACTGTAAGGAAATGAGAGGTTTTTCCAAATAAACTTGCCTGCCCACCATATATATTGCCAAACTATATTTGGTTCTTCTCAGCTTGGGGCCATTTAATTACGTGAGAACAAAGTATTGTTCTGTCATGTCTATAGGCAGTTATGTGGAAATAACCCCTCCCACATCCCCCAAATAAGTTAGAATTTGTAGTTAAAAATTGCTTTTCTTTTGAAGTGTATTGCAAAATTTGCTTTCTGCCAGTGCCAAGTCAATGATCATATTTGTTTTAGGGATGACTTGTCTTTAGAGAAAAAAGATATTGCCTTAGTCCTGCAATGCAGAAAGTGCACTTACTGCCCCTATTATCTTCCACTTTGTTGGGGATGAAGTGGGGTGAGCAGGATAAACGGGCTCAAGAATCAATGGATTATTCACTTAGTAATATAAGAACACCAGCTTAATTATGATTTATGGGCTTTAGAAATCTCTAAACAGCATGGAAATGAGAGTTTATAAAGACTTGTAATTACCTTTAGTAAAGAAGGAGAGAAAAGAAAAAGTACAAAAATGGGTAATTTAAAATGTACTTAGTTTTCCTTGTAACACATACCAAAATGTGCACATACGTGTGAACATTGACATTTTTCATGATGTCCAAGATGCCTATTAGCTCAACCTTTACATAGTATAAATATAGGAATCTCAAGATGATCAAGAAAATCATTATGTGATCTCTTGTTTCTTTTGTGTATTTCATTGACTAGTCTGGAATCCTGTGATCAACTAGCAATATGTCTGAACATATTAAAGGAATCAGGTATAGATTGACCATTAGATCTTGCAGTGTGTTGGGGGAGAAGTGAGGGATCTCACTTTCCCTAGAGACCAATTGCTGAGATAGATAGCTGTGTTGTCAGCACTGGAGTGTTCCAAATACAGATCAATTTAAAAAGTTCTGGAATTTCACCTGGCTGAGACCAATTGCAAAGACAGCCGTTTCTGGTGGCCTAGAGGTTAAGCATTTCAGCCATAATTTATATGTCAATTCTGCCCTCACTGCTTTATTTTAAAAAAAATATATTTTTTTTATTGATTTCAGAGAGCAAGGGAGGAGAGAGAGATAGAAACATCAGTGATGAGAGAGAATCATTAATCAGCTGCCTCCTGCATGTAACCTCACTGGTGATCGAGCCCGCAACCCAGGCATGTGCCCTTGACCGGAATCGAACCCAAGACCTTTCAGTCAGCAGGTTGATACTCTATCCACTGAGTCAATCCAGCTAGGGCCTCACTGCTTTTTATTACTAGTTTCTCAGCCTGATTGTCTGAATTAGGGGCCTCTTGAATGAAGCCAGTTGCTTTGACAACATAAAACATATTGCTCCTAAATTAAATATATGTTCAGGGCAAGCATATGTTTAAGCACCCCCGCAAACCAGCCTTGTCCTCAACTGATTTACTGCTAGGACTACATTGATCAACCAGACACTTCACAAATTTTTAAGTCAGGAACAGTAAGCAATTTTGAGTTGAAAAAGAAAATTTTAATGACAGATAAATCCTTGCCTTGACCCAATGATTATAAAAGTGTTAGGGGCACACAGTCAAAGGTGAAAGACCTATAATGTCACATCACTCAGAGGAATCCTAAGAGCACCCAAGAAAATATGCCAGGCTTCCAAATGCATGTCTCTGCCTTAGAAATATTCAGCAACTTGTTATTCAAATGTTAATTGAGTGTAGAGAAATAGCCCAAAGGGCAAATGTTAAATGCAGTAATGCCACTAACATGTGTCTGAACTTGCATGTGCTTCAGGAATGTGGTAGACAGGATTCTTAAAATGGCCCCCAAGGTTCCCAGACCCCTACTGTACACACACTTTCAGTTATTCAATCAAACACCATTTTAGGTGCCGCTGTGAAGGAATTTGCAGATGTAATTAATGTCCCGGGTCAGTTGATCTTAAAATAGGGAGATTATCCAGATTGGCTAATCACCTGAGCCTATTAAATCTTGGTTTAGAGGTCAGAAACCTACTTGAGAAGTCAGAGATTAAAAGTAGGAGGGGAAATCAATGCCTGAGAAGTCCTTCCCAGCCCTAGGAGAAAGCCAACATCTACGTTGTGAACTGCCTATTGGAGCCACTGTTTAGGAACTGTAGGCAGCTTGGAGTTGCTGAGTCATCACCAGCCAATTGCTGAAAGGGAAAACAACAACTTCAGTTCTACAACTGCAAGGACATGAACTCTGCCAACAATCCGTGAGCTTGGAAGAGGGCCCTATGAGAACCAAGAACGACAGGCCCAGCCAAGAACTACTTGGTTTTAGCCCAGTGAGACCTTAAGTAGAGTATCTCGCCATGCTGTGAAACTGTGAGATAATGCGTTTGTGTTAAGTTGCCAAGTTGGTAGTAATTTGTTACACAGCAATAGAAAAATAATACAAGAAATATTTTGCAGAATCATAGTAATAATAGGTGGCATGCCAGACCAAATACACACGCCCATTGTGGGTATCCTGGGAATAGCAGTAAGGGTCCATCTGAATAGCGTTTGTCTTTACAGCTATTGTCTTTACTTATTCTTTCAATGGTGGTTTTCTTTGGTAGTTTTTATTGTCTGTTTTCTAGCAGAATTGTTCCCTGCATTATGCTGAGTGCTTTGCAGGATTGTTTAATCCTCTCAGCAACCCTTTACAGATGAGATAACAGGCCTGGAGCAGGTAAACATTTCCCAAGGCCTCAAGTGATAAACCGGTAGTGGCTTGGAGAAAAGTATTAATTGGGAACTGGGAATTTGTTTTCTATAGTCACTTTTTTTAGCATCCCTTCTCAAAGAGTCCAGGTATCAAAATTAGAAATCTTGAATTATTTACCATTTTCCTCGGTTACCCCTTAATTTAACAGGTATCATTAATCTCTCGGTTTCCTTTTTCTTTTTTAATAATTGAGGTTATATCATTTATCACTCTGACAGCAAATTACACATTAATCCAGAACAAGAACTTCTCCCTGAACAGGCTCATACCCTTCCATGACTTTCCCCTAATTGTTCTCCTGAAACTCAGACCCCATTTCCCAGCCACAGCAGGGGCCCCCACTTGTCTGTCTTCACAAAGCAGAGTCTCAACTTGTCCCAGATGAACTTATCTTTTGTCAACCTACCTCGCCTCTATTTCCTATCTCTTCATAGCATTTTTATCTCATCAGCTAGCCAAGCTAGGAACTATGATATTATCTATGACTTTCTTTACTCTCATTCTTTACTTGTGATCTGTTAACAAGTCCTTGCTATTTTAACTCTTTAGATAACCAATAAAGTGTTAATATCCAAAACATGTAACAAACTCATACAACTTAACATAAAAAAATAAACATTATAATTTAAAAAATGGGCAGAGAACCTGAGTAGACACTTCTCCAAAAAGAGCATTAAAGATGGTGACCAGTGGACATGAAAAGATGCTCAATATCACTAATCAGCAGAGAAATGCAAATTAAAACTACAAGGAGATATCATCTTACTCCTGCCAGAATGGCTATCAATAATAAATCAACAAACAACAAGAGTTAGGATGTAAAGAAAAGAGAACCCTCATGCACTTTTTGTGGGAATGCAGACTGGAGCAGCAACTATGGAAAACAGTATGGAGGTTTTTAAAAATAAAATAAAAACAGAACTACCTTATGACCCACCAATTCCACTTCTAAGTATTTATCTGAACAAATCCAAAACACTAATTTAAAAAGATATATG